AGAGAATGGGACGCCGCCGTGGCGGGCAACAGCTGCCTGCGCGAGGCGATGAGGAGAGTCATCAGCGACGAGTGCTGCGACGCGCTCCAGCTGTTCCACGGCAACCTGCTCGCGGACATCGAGAAGTTCTACGACAGCCTTCAGCTCGACTGCGTGATCGAGGCGGGCCTGAGGATGGACTTCCGCCCCCGCCTGCTGGCGATGATGCTGCTGCAGCACTCAGCCACGAGGGTGCTGCGGTGGAAAGGTGCCTTCTCGACACCTACCTGGGCAGACAGGTCGCTGCTGGCAGGCTCGAGGCACTCCAACAACCTGGCCAAGACGGTGGTCTACTCCGTCATCGGCAGGCTGCTGGAGGCCTCTCAGGCGCTGCCCAAGCCGCTGCCGAGGGCCTGGTTCGACGACATCAGCATCCGCATCCTGGGCAGCGCAGAGGCAGTCGAGCAGGAGCTGACGGCGGTCACGGTGGGGCTGCGCGACGGTCTACGAGCACAGGGACTCTCGCTCGCGGACAAGACCGTCATCTTCAGCACCAACTACCGCACCACCAAGAGAGTACAGCAGGCGCTGCGCAAGGTGAACCTCCCCGTCCAGGCCGTCACTGAGGGCCGCGACCTGGGGATTGACCGAGGCGCAAGAGGGGCGCTGAAAAGGGACACCCACAGAAAGAGGACGAAGCACGCCTTCACGCGCTGCGGCCACGTGGGCAAGAAGCCCAGGAGGCTCAGGCTGCGGCGGAGGAGAGGCATTCTGCACCAAGGAGCGGTGGCCTCCTACATGTACGGCGCGACGGTGCACGGCATGGCACCCTGGGCGCGGCAGAAGGCGAGGAGGAGGTACGCACAGGCTCTGAGGAGGCCGTGGCCAGGCCGCTGCCTCACCACGTTCCTGGCGCTGGAGGGCGCCGGCCCCGCGATCACCGCGGTGAAGGCGCAGCTGAAGACGTGGTTCGAGGTCTGGGCCCGCAGCCCCGACATCAGAGCACAGGTCAAGCTTGCCTGGCCGAAGATCTACTTCCAGCTCCGCAAGCTCAGGGCAGAGAAGAGGTGGCAGGCACGCAAGGGGCCGCTGGCCAGCCTGATCCTCCTGCTGTGGGAGGTAGGCTGGGACCCCAGAGGACCAGACGTCTGGATCGACAGGCAGGGGGACTACTGGAGGTTCAACACCGACGAGCAGGGCGGCGACTACACAGAGATCGTGGACGCGCTCCTGCAGGATATCCAAGACCAGCTGTGGGAGACGGCATCGCGACACCACAACGGCGGAGGGCTACAATATGGCGCGGACGTGACCGACCTTAAGAAGCACCTCGACCAGCTCGCCAAGAAGGAGCACCACGGCACGTACGGCGCGCTCCTCACGGCAGCGTGTGCAGGCACCTGGACGAGGCGGCGCAAGCACGAGACCTTCGGCGGCGAGAAGGCCATGTGCGAGTGCGGCAGACCAGAGGATGATGCACACAGGATCTGGGGCCACTGTGCGGCCCGAGCCGACTGCGAGGCCATCCGCAAGACAGAGGGCTTGGCATGCAGGGCCATCGAGGGGGCCAAGGAGAACCCCGCCTTCTGGCTCAGAGGCATCACGCCCAAGAAGTGGACCACGCCGCCCAAGTGCGACACCCAACACGTCGAGCACACCGTGGGCGCCTGCATCACCAACAACAGGCTCTCCGCCAGCGACGGCGGCGAGATCACGGGCTGCGGCGACGGCTCAGGAGGCGAGTACAGCGCAGACGAGAGATACTGCCGCTGCGGCTGGGGCTGGGTGCTGCTGAAGGAGGGCGACGACGCCGACGGGATCGCGGGCGCCAGATTCGGCCCACTGCCAGGACCGAGGCAAACCAACAACAGGGCGGAGCTCTTCAGCCTGATCAGCTTCGTCAACGCCACGGAGGGCAAGGCCAGCTTCTGGACCGACAGCGAGGTCACCTGCCTGGGCTGGGCGGCGCGACGCGAGGAGACCACAGGGCTCGGCTGCGCGAACGGCGACTTGTGGCACCAGCTGGGCGAGGCGATCCGTGCGCGAGGAGGCGACCGCAACGACATCAGCGTGCACCACCTCAACAGCCACATGACTGAGCAGGAGGCCCGCGCAAAGGGCATCACGAGGCGCATCTGGGCAGGCAACCAGGCAGCCGATCAGTACGCAGACGCAGGCGCCAAGACCCACGCGATCAGCGACACCGAGATGAGCTGCTACGAGTGGGTGAGAGCGACGGCGCACCTGGTGAGGCTCAGGATCGCTGCAACCACCAAGGACGTCATCACCAGAAGGCCGCCAGACGAGAAGGAGATGAGAGAGGCCCGCCGCGCTCAGGCTAAGAAGCGACGGCAGGACACCGTGCGCAAGAAGGACCTGCTGGGGGACAACCACTTGCGGCGGCCGCTCACCCAACACGTTCTGGCACGAGACCGTCGAGGCACAGGCTGGACGTGCCTGAGCTGCTGGCAGTCGGTCTCCAGTGCGATGACGGCGCAGAACATCCACAGCTGGCTGACGCAGGAGTGCAGTGGCCCACCGCCCGAGACGGCGATCACGGTCACCAAGTTCGGCGTCGAGTCGCATCCCACGCACAAGCTGAGGCGGCTGGGGAGGCACAACAGGTGGTTCTGCGAGAAGTGCGGCGGCGCCACCACTGAGCTGATCGCCAAGAAGCTGCAGGGGCCTTGCTGTGGACACACGGCATGCGACAGCGGGCACTACAGGCTACAGGGGTGGCTGAGGCAAGCGGCGCGAGAGCAAGGCACCTGCGACAGGCCTCGCGCACAGAGCGACCCTGATGACGAGGAGGACGAGGAGCAGCTTGCAGAGGCCAGCAGCAGCCAGAGCACGGAGGTCGACACGACAGGGGGCACAAGTGGTGTTTCCTGGCGAAACAAACGGGAAGAGCCACCCTGCCGTCTGCGGGGGAAGTGCCGAGGCAACGCTGCTGGCGCGCTGGAGGCGACGAGGAGAGCTACGCCGCCTGCGGAGCCTGGCAGCCTGCCCGCCCCATCAGCTGCAGGAGCAGGCCGAGGGCCCGCGACGCGGGACAGGGCACGTCGGGCCGCGGCGGCCAGAGCGAGAGCGCGCAGCGAGGCAGCAGGCGCGCGACCCGACGGCGGAGACAGAGGAGAGCAGAGGCCACGGCGATCAGAAAGCGAAAGACGACGAGCTGAGGAGCCGATCGTGAGACGCCTGCTGGACGCGACCGCCGCCACACCAGCACCGACGCCGACACCGACGCCAGCACCACCAGCAGCAGCAGACCGACCTGATGAAGCTGAGGCCGCACGCCGTGCCGCCTCGCGAGCGCTGCTGGAGGAGGAGCGGTGGCGCGCGGCGCGCCCGCCGCCAGAGGCGAGAGGGGCCCGCGCGGCGAGCGCCGCCCCGCCGCTGCCGCTGGGCGCGCTGCGTCGGCTGCTGGACGAGGGCGAGCGGCCCGCGGGGCGGGTGAGGACCACGCGAGGCGGAGCTGATGGCAGACGATGTGGTCTCCCCGCCCCGCGGAGAGAGGGCTCGGCTGCGGAGCCGCCCGCAGGCCCCTCGGTTGCTCGGCACGTCCCCCTGTTGCCGAGGACCGAGGCGGCCTGAGAGGCGCCGAGAGCGGCGCCCCCGCGCGCGCGCGCCGACAGCGCCGCGCGGGTTGCCACGACGTGGCGGCTCGAAAGAGCTCGGAAAGAGCTCCTCCTCCTCCTCCTCCTCCTCCTCCTCCTCCTCCTCTCCCTCCTCTTCTTCCTCTTCCTCCTCCTCTCCTCCTCCTCCTCCTCCCCCTCCTCCTCCTCTCCTCCTCTTTCCTCCTCCTCCTCCTCCTCCTCCTCTTCCCTCTTTCCTTCAAATTCAGGGAAGCGCTTGGCGGCGGCCCCGCTCTCGAAGGACGCACCATGCGTCCGTGCAGCTGTTGTATGCGGGGCGTGCCGAACAGGGCCTTGCCTTCGAGGATCGAAGGAGTTGCCACCTCTTCCTCGGCGAAAGGCGGGACACGGGCGGCGGAAGGGCGGCGGACGTAAACCGAGGCCGCCTCGGCGGAAGGCTGGCGGAAGGCGGCGGAAGTAACAACAACGCCTCCGAGAGATGACAACATGTTTGGTTTCAAGGTTTCTGAAGTCCGCCATGTGTGTTTTGACATTCCTTGGTGAACGAATTTCGCGACGTCCCAAGCGAGAGCCCAATGTTTAAGAGGCACCGCCTTTCATCCGTGTAACTGCTGCAAGCAATTGCAATGGTGGCAGTAGATTTACCAGTTTGAAACCTATCCCTATCCCTGTTTTTGGCATCACCTCACCTCGATGCCGATCTTAAGGATTACCTCGGTTTCTGAAGGCACACCCCTAAGACTGTCCTCGCCTCTTGCTCGCCCATCTCAGGGATGGGGATCAGTTCGAGGCTGGTTATATATGTTGAGGGGTTTCAGGCGAGATCACCATTTTGAAAACGCGCCAGCCTCCATCATTGTACCGACGTTTGGGACACGAAGGATGACATAAACATAACAACTCGGAGGTCCGCGCGGATTTCTCGGATCGGCGCGGACCTCCGAGTTTTTATGTTTATGCCAGTTTTTGTTCCCCTAAGCCTCCATCACTGTACCTACCTGGCCCGAGCCTTCAAGACGAATGTGCGCGGCGCCAGGGCGAGAGCCACAAGGCGTGTTCGCCCGCTCCCCGCGTCCAGAGTACGCAGGCCTCGTCCTCCTCCCCCTCCCCTCCTCCTCCTCCTCCTCCTCCTCCTCCTCCTCCTCCTTCCTCCTCGCCCTCCTCCTCTCCTCCTCCTCCTCCTCTCCTCCTCCTCCTCCTCCTCCTCCTCCTCCTTCCTCATCCTCCTCCTCCCTTCCTCCCCCTCCCCTCCTCCCCCCCTCCCCCTCCTCCCCCCCTCCTCCTCCTCCTCCTCCTCCTCCTCCTCCTCCTCCTCCTCCTCCGCCTCCGTCCCAGGGCCCCGCGAGGGCCCCTGGAGGCCGAAAACGACCCACATCTTCCGGTGTGCTTTTTCGCGACGCGACCCTGTCCCTGGCTCGCGCCGAGGTTCAACATGGAGGACACCGACGATGCCGGCGAGCTCGAGGGGGCCCCGGACGCCGGCATCTATGTCCACGGCCTGTTCATGGACGGCGCGGCCTGGGACTTCGATGAGACCTCCGGCGCTGTCTCTGGCCCCCCCCTGGCGGCCAGCAGGGAGGACGAGGAAGGAGATCTCGAAAGGAAGGAGATGGGGGTGATCAGATAATGGGGGCGGTGCCGACGGGGAGGAGGCGGGAGGAGTTTCTTCTAGCCGTCAAGGCTGGACTAGATAAGGTGCACCCCTTGTGGCTAAGAGATCACGCATCACCTGATCAGATATTTGAGGCGCTGGAGCAAAGCCGAGTGAATGCTGGGCAAGCCTGCTTTCAACCTGTAGTCGCCACGAATGCATCTGTGCAGATCGCATCTAGGCGTAGAGGCTTGTTGGAGAATAGAATCTCTCTTTCAGAGGTTCCAGACTCGCTTGCTCGGAAGAGGAGGTCGACCGCATTGACACAGAGCTTGCGAAGTTGAGCCGGACCCTTTTTCAGGACCGCCGAAAGCATGCCAAAGAACGTAAAGCTTGTCTCATGGCCTAGGCTCGGGAAGCGCGGGGGCGAGGACGCCCAACCGAGGCTATGCGGGCTGCACGAGCCGCAGCGCGATGTTGGTACGGACCGAAGCGACGCGATGGACGGCTTGCGTGCGCAGCCCTTCCGTCAGCTCAGGAGTGGGTGGAGGCGCTTAGTTTGGGCGGGCGGGAGGGCGGGGTGGGGGCGACTGAATTTGATTACGCAGACTGGAGGTCTGAGAGAGAAATTCAAGATTTCCCTTTTGAACGGAATGCCGATGTTCAGGAACTAGCCGAGAGCGGTTTGAAACAGATCAAGCGATATGTCAGGCGAGCCCCCCGTAGGAAAAAGGTTCCAACGGGCACTGCTCCTCTCGAGCCGTGGCACATGTGCCTCTTCCCCAACCCCGAGCTGAAGATGAGGCGGGGGGTTGGCTCCCCAGAGAAGATGCCGCGATGTGTTTTTTTGTGGTTTTTGATGGAGCTTGGCCTTTGGAAGACCAGACAATTCGATCTCACTCCACCATATTGGCACGCTAGTGATGGCGCCGCGATTTACAAAAAATCGAGCGAGGGGCCCAATGGCCGACGGATTGTCCATGTCCTGCCCGCTTTGGGCAAAGGGTTTTACGCTTTTAAGTTTCGGACCACCCCGACTGTGAACGACCGCGGCTTCTGTCGAGGCCGACGCCGAGAGAATGCTACACTGTCAGCCTTGCGAGCCAGCTGGCGGCTTCGCGCGTGCCACCAGACGCACGTGATTTGTTTCAAAGACCTCGCGAATGCTTTCGCCAGTTCGGACTGGCAGTGCATGGATGAGGCAGTGGAGGTTGGCACCAGGGAAGAAGACCGCGTGCTTTGCCGTCAGCGCTACAGGCAAGGAGTCACGTTCCTAGAATCTTCGGGCCGCCCACTGGTAATGACGCCCAGTGAGGGAGGCATGATGGGGGACCCATTCATAGTTGCTAACTTTGTTGAGGTTTTCAAGCCCCCAGTTTTAAGATGGAGCTATTGGCACTGGCAGAGCGATCCCACAGGCAAACTTCTCATTTCAGCCTGGGGCCCTTGTGAAGCAAACTCATCACGGGGCAAATATGCAGGCGACATTTTAAAGTTTATACTTGCTTCCCCTGGTTTAACTTTCGCGGGGCTAATGGATAAGATCCGTCAGTCGGACGAGTGTTTGGATGAGCAACTCGATCAGTGTGGATATCTACAGAATGCTAGCAAACAGGAGTTTTTGTTTGATTTCCGGGGGGTGGGCAGCACGACATTTAAACACCTTCTTAGAGACCCCCATAAGCACAAGCTTCCAGGTAGAATTCTCGACTCAGTCAGATACCTTGGACCGCACCTGGTCCAGCGGAGTACGCCGGCGCACGAGTCTGCGAGGCGAGTCCAGGTAGCGCGCACGTCTTTTCACTCGCTCGGTGCAATCTGGACCATGTCGTTCCCGTTCCAGGAGGGAGAAGGAGGAGGAGGAGGAGGAGGAGGAGGAGGAGGAGGAGGAGGAGGAGGAGGAGGGGAAATCCGTAACCATTTTGGCTCAAGGCTGAACGTTGCGAAAGGCTATAAACGCCCGAGGTGCAGCGATTAGCTTTGGACCCTTCCGTAACGATCGGTTCAGGTTGCTTGGGGCGTGTGCTGCCCGCGGCACTCTGCTCTCTTCCAGGCTGAAGGACCTCATCCCTCACATTTTCACGTTCGTTCTTCAGGGTACGCGCGTGCCAACTCGATGATGCTTTAATGTCCCGCCCGCCCGACCCGACCCGCCAGTTAGGGTACGCACGTGCCAACCCGATGACGCATCATACTTTGATGTCCTGCCCGTCCGACCCGACCCGCCCGTTAGGGTACGCACGTGCCAACCCGATGACGCATCATACTTTACTGTCCTGCCCGGCCGACCCGACTCGCCCGTTAGGGTACGCACATGCCATTCGGCGTGGGCTCCGCGCGGAGATCCATCACGCCTCTCGGATTCTGGATTCCGGATTGGACCTCGGAATCCAGAATTCCAGATTTCGGATTCCAGATTCCGGATTCGGCGTGCACGGGCTCCACGCGGAGATCCATCCAGATTCCGGATTCCGGATTCCGGATTTTGGATTCGGCGTGGGCTCCACGCGGAGATCCATCACGCCGCTCGGATTCCGGATTCCGGATTCCGGATTCCGGATTCCGGATTCGGCGTGGGCTCTATTCTGAGATCCATCATGCCGCTCGGATTCCGGATTCCGGATTGGACCTCGGAATCCAGAATCCAGAATTCCTGGTTCCGGATTCTGGATTCCGGATTCCGGATTCGGCGTCGGTTCCCCGCGGCGATCCATCACGCCGCTCGGATTCCAGATTCGGGATTCCGGATTGGACCTCGGAATCCAGAATCCAGCCGGATTCCGGATTCAGGATTCAGGATTCGGCGTGGGGCTCCCCGCGGACATCCATCACGCCGCTCGGATTCCGGATTCCGGATTCCGGATTGGACCTCGGAGTCCAGAATCCATAATTCCGGATTTCGGATTCGGCGTGGGGCTCCACGCTGAGATCCATCATGCCGCTCGGATTCTGGATTCCGGATTCCAGATTCCGGATTGGATCTTTCTGGAAAGACTCTCCGGATCACCTCTCATTTGTGTAGGTGTTCTCAATTGGAATCTTTGTGTAAAGGCTTTCAATAGGAATAACTGTGTAGAGGCTCTCGATCGGAATTTTTTGCAGAGGCTCTCAATGTGAATATTTTTGTGGAGGTTCTCAACAGGAATCCTTTGCACAGGCTCTCAATTGGAATACATTTGTATTTGGTTTCAATATGAATCCTTTTTGTACTGGCTTTCAATAGGAATCCTTTTTGTAGAAGCTATCAATAGGAATCCTTGTGTAGAGGCTTTCAATAGGAATCATTTTGTAGAGGCTCTCAATCGGAATCCTAGTGTAGATGCTCTCAATAAGAATCATGTTTGTGGAGGCTCTCAATAGGAATTCTTGCGTAGAGGCTCTGAATAGGAATCCTTTTGTATTGGTTTTCAATCGGAATCCTTCTGTATTGTGTTTCGATCGGAATCCGTTTGTAGAGGCTTTCGCTTGGAAGGTATCAGGAATCTCGGATTCTTCCTGAGGAAGGTTTTAAAGAAGGTTTGTTTGGGAAGGTTCTACGAAGCCTGAATTCTTCCTGAGGAAGGTTTCGATATTTGTTGCTTGGAAGGTTCCAGGAATCCTGGATTCTTCCTGAACAAGGCGTTAGGAGGGTTTTTTTTTGAAGGTTCCAGGAATCACGGATTCTCCCCGAGGAAGGTTTTAGGAAGGTTGTTTGAAAGGCTCTAGGAATACAGGATTCTTCCCGAGGACGGTTTTACTATGGTTTTTTTTTGTTTGGAAGGTTCCAGGAATCCTGGATTCTTCCCGAAAGCAAGTTTTAGGAAGGTTTGTTGTAAGGTTTCAGGAATCGCGGCCCTCAGCCCAGTGGCTCTCTTGATCTGTGCTTCTGACTCCGCGCAGGACGCCGGAGACAGGCAGAGAACACTGCCCGAGACCCGCCAAATGACGGCCCGGGCACGGCCCCCTACAGGCCCTCGCACGGGCGGAGGAGGGCCCCGGGACGAGCCCCGAGAGGGGCCGAGAGAGGGGCCCGAGGCGGCCCCCGCGGGCTCCTGGACGGCCCTGAGAATCACCGCCCACCAAACCACCCCAACCCAACCCGAAGGCTCAGATTTACCCTCGATTTCCAGTGGGGGGGGGTCAGGAAACATAGAAAAAACACATGTGGAACCCTTACCCCCCCCAACCCGAAATTCGGGTCTTCGGGTTGGGTTGGGGTGGTCTGGTAGGTAGTCAGAGAGCAGCACGAGTCCGCGCTGGGCCGTAAACCTGGCACGAATGGCATCGAAAGTCTGATCGAGCATCGGGGGCGGCCAAGAGGGGGGTGATGACGAGGGGGGGGGGGGGACATCATGGCGGGGGTCACGATGGCTCCTCAGAGTTCATGGCGGTTCCTCTTATTCCAATAGGCCCCCGGTTCCCGCCCCCCCTGGGCCGCGCACATGCCGCTGGCCATGATTTGCGACCCACCCTCTTGGACGCCCCACTCCTGGGCGCCCCCGAGCAGCGGGAGTCAGGAGAGCGGGTGACCCGTCTCGTGCCTGCCTCCCCCTCCTCGCCAGCCGGGCGAGCCTCCCGCACCTCCCAGGGGCAACCCTGGGGGGGGGGGATAGGCTCGGGAGGGAGGGAGAGGAGGAGGGAGGGAGGGAGGGAGGGAGGGAGCGAGGGAGCGAGGGAGCGAGGGAGCGAGGGAGGGAGGGAGGGAGGGAGGGAGACGCATCGACCCCCCATCGCTCAGCCATCGCCGAGAGGAGGGGCCCGATAGCCCAACCCGCCCAGGCTCGTGCCGATTCGCCATTTCTGGGGCCCATCGCCAGTCTGTCGGCGATGTGTCGTCGCCGATTCTGGCTCGAGGTTCCCCCCTTTGTCTACTCCAGATTTCTTAATGAAAGGGATGGGGGTCTCATTTCGGGGGGGGTCTCTTCCAGGCTATCTTGGAGGGCCTGGGGGGGTCTGGGGACGATGTTTTGGAGGGTTCTCCCACGGGGGGGGTCTGAAATGGCTTGTCTTGGAGGGTCCAGACCCCCTCCCTTTTATTGCGAAATCTGGAGTATCGTCCTTCGTCGTCGTTTGTCCTCCCGCATGGGCTCCAGCTGGTCGCCCCGCGCCAAGGAGATGGTCATGGCCGACCAGGAGTTCGGCGTCATGTATGTCCGCGCCCCGGTGATCAACTTCATCCCCTATCAGGACGCCCTGATTCCTGCCCATCTGCCGTTGAAAGTGTGTATTTGTGGGTTCGCTTATTGCAGTATACATTCGACGCCTTCCTACTTCAATTATCGAGTGGTTTTCTCTTCTCCTTCATTTCCGTTCAGGGAGCGGCCAGAAACACAATATACTTTCATCGCCTTCCTACTTCATGTTTCTATGTACTCCCCCTGACCGATGATTACTGTTGACGGGCTACGGCGACGACGACGACGACGAGCCACGGGGCAAGCGGCATGCGCGAAACTCTCGGCGACTCTCCTCCCTTCGGCCAGGATCTGAACATTCGAAGAACTGGTGAAGGTTTCTTGTGACCTTTCGGCTGCGCGTCGAAAAACCACCTCGCGATCAGTCGTTGTTTCAGTTTTATCGAATCGCGTTCGTCGGAAAGCCTATCATTCGACGCCCTCTTGCGTGGATCCGTCGGTACGACGAACAAGCGTCCATATTTCAACGTCCCCGCCACCATCCACACTTGTGCATTAGTGTGCGACGGGAGACGGTCAAACCGCATCGGTCCTTCTTCTCCAGCTGGCCCTGTGTGGACTTCTCGAGTTCCCTCCGCATTTGGGTTCCAGTCTCCCAGCTCCAGCCACCACGTCGTCCCAAATCTTGTTACGGTTTGAGTGGGCCGGTGGGGTCTGAAATTGATGCGCCACACCCGGCGTCAAACAGTTCACGCGACATGACGCGGGAAGCCCCTGGACAAGCGGCGCCACGGGAGATTTGACAATTTGGGCTCCGGGCCCTTTGCAGACTCTTCAGTTGTGAGGATTGAGGCTTAGAGGATCACAGAAAGGACATGTGGACACGCCCACTCTGTGCCCACGGACACGGTTTCGGATTCATGGATTCATGTACGCATGCATGTCGATGTCGATGTGTGCATAAATAATCTATATATACATATATGTATATATACATAGATGTATGCATACCACTCGCAGATGTACATGTAATTTATACGTGTGTGTCTACGCATATGTATATATATACGTACTATGTATATGTCTATGCATGCATATGCATATGTTTATGTATATGTAAATGACGATTTATATGCTTATGCATATGCTTATGTTTTGCAGATGCATGTGTATATGTATAGTTTTATGTACGTGTGTGTGTCTGTATGTTTATATAATATGTATGCACGTATATATGTATATATGTATGTATGTAGACATATATATATATATATGTTGCCTACGGCCAGTCTCGCCACCGTACCAGCCAACCATGCTCGGCGGATCCCCTTCGAGGGGGCGTACTTGCGAGGGATGAACAAATTATACCGATGTTGATGCTGTTGTTGCTGCTGATGGTTATGGTGATTATGAGGAGGGTGATGACGATTCTGATTATGATGATGACGACGTCGACCATGATGTCGATATGCTGATGCCGGTTATGATGATGCTGATGTTGACGATACTGATGTTGATGATGATGTTGATGCTGCTGATGATGATGACGATGATGCTGATGCTTGCGTTGCTGTTGATTATGGTGATGGTGGTGATGACGGCGCTGATGGTGATGGTAGTGCTGACGTTGTTGTTGACGATGATGATGATGTTCATGAAGATGTTGATGCGGATGCTGATGATGATGACGATGATGGTAGTGGTGGTGGTGGTGGACGTGGTGATGTTGTTGTTGTTGTTGATGCTGATGATATTGTTGCTGTTGTTGATGATGATGGCGATGATGGTTGTGGTGATGATGATGCTGATTATGATGATGATGATGATGATGATGATGATGACCATGCTGATGATGATGATGATGATGCGGATGATGATGATGATGATGATGATGATGATGATGATGATGCTGATGATGATGATGATGATGATGATGATGATGATGATGATGATAATAATCATGATCATGATCATGATGATGACGATGACGATGACGATGACGATGATGATGCTGATGATGATGATGATGATGATGATGATGATGATGATGATGATGATTATGATGCTGATGATGATGATACTGATGATGATGATGGTGATCGTTGGGATGTCGTGGGAGCCCTCCCGGGGCTTTTGTTGGAGGCAGTTTCGAGGCTTCCTGGGTGACGTCAGGCGGCCTCTTGGAGGCATCTTGAGGGTCTCTTGGGGCTCCTTGGTTGCCCCTTGGGGTCTCCTGGGAACCTCTTCGGGAGGAAGGCTGGAATTGTCGGTTCGTGTTCCCCCTCTTGGGCCCCTCTGGGGGCCGTCTTGGGGCTCTCTTGGGCTGATTTGGGTGCCTCTTGGGCCGTTTTGGAGCTCTCTTGGGCCGTCTGGGGGCCCTCTTTGGGGCCGCTTCGCTTGGGCCGTCTTGGAGCGTCGAAAGCTTGAAAAGGAGATAACGTAAAAAGATCGAAACCACAATAGAAATCATTGATTTGTGCCTCTTCGGGCCCTCGGGGGGGTCCTCTTTAGGGCCTCTTAAGCGGTCTTGGAGGCATCTTGGGCCATCTTGATGGCCTTGGAGGCTTCCCAGGTCCGTCTTGGAAGCCATCTTGGGGACTTTGGACGCCTTGGAGACCGCCAGTGACGTGTCTGGGCGCCGACAGAGCCTCGGGAAGAAGGGCCGGTGCACGCGACGAGGTGCGGCGGGGAGAGGGGGAGGGGTATCCTCAAGAAGATTACATAAACCCTACCAGGCAGCAGCACCTGGCATTCTAGCACGCCTAGCCGTGCCAGGGAGCACGGTGGCGGATATATATGCGTGTATGCATGCATGTATGTCTGTTTGTTTGTATCAGTATATATATATATGTATATATATATATATATATGTATGTGTATATATATATATATATCTGTAGACATGTTTGCATACATGCTTGCAGGTTTGTTGTGTGTATGTATGTATACACGAATGCATGTACGTGTGAATGTCTGCAGGTCTGTATGTATTTATACATAGATAAATATGCGTATGTGCGTGCGTTGCATGCTTGCATGCATTAATGCATTTATGCATGTATGCATGTATGTATACGTGCATGTGCACGTGCATGTATGCATGTATACATATTGTGGTGACTGCGTGTATACATATATAAGTTTGCGTGTACGTATGCAACACTCATATAGACACATGTATGTATGTATGCATGCGTGCATCTACGTATGTATTTATTTATATATGCATGCATGTATGTCTGTATGTATGTATTCATGCATGCATGTATGCATGTTTGTACGCATGCATGAGTTATTGTAGTGTGTATACATGTATGTATGTGTGCCTATGTGCATGTATGTGTGTATGTCTACATGTATGCATGTGTATATGTATGTATGTATGCACGCATGTATGTATCTATGTATCTATGGTTGCATGCATGCATGTATGTATGCATGCATGCATGCATGCATGTATGTATGTATGTATGCATGTATTTGTATGTATGTATGTATGTATGTATGTATGTATGTTTGTTTGTATGTATGTCTGTCTGTCTGTCTGTATGTATGTATGTATGTATGTATGTATGTATGTATGTATGTATTCATGTATTCATGTTTGCACACATCGTCTCGAATGACACCGCGGCCCGTGCGCCGGGGACGGACCCTGTGGTCCCGCCGTCGAAGGACAAGCAGCGGAACGACGAGAAGTTCCTGATGCCGATCTACAAGGCCGTTCGGCGGGGAAAGGGCGCCCTCGGGGAATGGGGGACCGACTGTCTACGCCTCCTAGATGGGGTCTGAGTATATGGGGTCGCAGGATCGCGCCGCATCGCCGATGCATCGGCGATGCGGCTCGATGTGGAGCCCGCTTTTCTCCACGCCGACGTCGCCGATGCATCGGTGATGTATCGACGATGCAGCGTGATCCTCCGACCCCATCTGCTCCGACCCCATCCGTGAGGCCTTTCGGGGGGGGGGACCGACTGCGGGGAGGAGGCGTCGATTCCCCGTCGCCGTTTCCTCGCCGGTCGGGGACCGGTTGCCCCTGCCTGCCCGGGAGGCGCAGCTTCCTCCCCTCGGCCCTGCCTTCTCCCCTGTCTTACTGGCTACTGGTCTCCCTTCGGCTCTCCGTTCTCCCCTTTCCGCCCCCTCACTCAGTTGGAAAAGGGGCTGCGGAGTATCAACGCAATCTGATCATGGTGGTGGGTATGACGTTGATGAAGGTGGCGATGATCATTTGGACGAGGCGGGCGAGGAGGAGGAGGAGGAAGAGGATGTGAGAAGGGACGTGAGGGCGAGGAGGAGGCGGAGGAGGAGGAGGAGTAGGGGGAGTGCGAGGAGGACGAGGAAGACGCGATGTTAGAGGAGGAGGAGCAGGAGGAGTAGGAGAAGGAGGAGAAGGAGGAGAAGGAGGAGGAGGAGGAGGAGGAGGAGGGGAGCATTTAGCCCTCGGCGCTCCCGCGAACACCCAGAAGGGAGAGGATCAAAGGGAGGAGGAGACGGACATTCGCTGTGAGGGGTTAGGTTTGCGTACCAGTTTTCTGTTGTTGTGCGGATTTCGGTCTCCCGGTGGTTGTAGGGCCCCTGGGAGGCCAATGCGTCAGTGCGGAGGTTTTCTGCATTGTGAAGCATCCCTCAGGGTGCCTTCGCCAATCCAGCGGGAAGCGGAAAGAGGAAGATGATGAGGATGAGGAGGGGGATGGGGACGCGGGCGGGGGGGGGCGAGAAGGAGGAGGAGGAGGAGGAGGAGGAGGAACAGGAGGTGAGAAGGGGGAGGAGGAGGAGGAGGAGGAGGAGGAGGAAGGAGGAGGAGGAGGAAGAGGAGGAGGAGGAGGAGTGGAGAAGGAGGAAAGGGAGGAGGAGGAGGAGGAGGGAATGAGGGAGGAGGGAGGTGGAGGAGGAGGGCCAGTGTCAACATAAAACGCATCAGCAATGTTGCAATACACCCTCCCTCCAAATTCCCTCTTCATCGGTCCCTGCAATAATCGATCTTCATTGCGGGAAGTACCCCATAAGACAACCGTCTGAGAATTCCCAACTGCGCCGAAGTAACATTTCTCGAACTTCCGCGCCGCAATTCAAAGTCACTGTTGCGCCCGGGCCAATTCTAGTCGTGCCAGAACGCCACACATGCGACATCGAGACGCCGCGAATCAACGTGACTGTTGTGTCCTGAATCCTGAACCGTGTCAGAACACCGTTCCTGGGACTTCAGCCATACGAACCTCGAACTGCTGCAAACTGTTGAGACGAATGTTCGCTGCGCCCATACGATAGCCACATGTTGAAAAGGAGCCACCCTCCATCAATGAAACCGCTGCAACCTTTGAAGACCACTGTGCGCGGCTCTAAGGCGAGAGCATCGTCTTGAACACCGCCCGCCCTCCACGAGTAACATTGCTGCAGACTCGGAAGATGAGTGCGCGCAGCGCCAATGCGAGAGCCACATTTTGAAGACCACCCGCCCTCCATCCATCCTCGAAGCTGCTGCAAACTTTGCGGCGAAGGCGCGCGGCGTTGGGGCGATATCCACATTTTGAAAACCACCCGCCCTCCATTCTCGAAGCTGTTGCAGTTTTCAGGTTTCAGGATCATAATTGGCGAGGATGTCTCAGGCGACATGCCCGGCCCTCACTACCGGCACGTCTGGGGGTGCGACAGAATGGGCGGAGGAGGAGCAGCAGGAGGAGGAGGAGGAAGAGGAGGAGGAGGAGGGGGAGGAGGAGGACGGGGAGGGGGAGGATGAGGAGGATGAGGAGGAGGAGGAGGAGGCGGAGGCGGAGGCGGAGGAGGAGGAGGAGGAGGAGGAGGTGGAGGAGGAGGAGCAGGAGGAGCTGGAGGAGCAGGAGAAAGGGGAGGAGGAGGAGGAGCAGGAGGAGGAGCAGGACGAGGACCCCCCCTGCCAACGCCCAGACGTCGGTCCGCGCGGGGACGCTGTCCACCACGGGCCACTCGACCAACTTCGTGCTGTCGATCGAGGACGGGGGGTGGGCGAGAGACCTCTAGGAGGGAACAAGCAAAGACACACACATACACACAGACACAGTCGTCGATTCCCAGGTAATCGTGGGGAATCTGGGACGTGGAGGTTCAGACTAACATCCAGAGATTATGGAACATTTGGGGAATCCTGAGGATTCAGCTGTCCCTTTGGTTGTGTGTCCCTGGGCCCCTTGAGGCTTCAGCTGCTGGTCGTGGCTGGTGCTTCTCTTGCTTCCCACCCCTGTTCCGCTCCTCCTCCTCCTCTTCCTCCTCCTCCTGCATCCTCGCCACTTCCCCCTCCTCCTCGTTTTCCCCCCTCCTCCCTCGCCTCTCCTCCTCACTCTCTTCCCTCCCCTCCTCCCCCCTCTCCTCTC